GCTCGCGTTCCTCTGAAGACAACGTGGACCCGATCTGGACCAGCCGCGGGTCCTTCTCTGTACCAACATTCACAGTAGTGATTTCATCCATTAAGGGTTTAACAAATCTTTCCTGCTCTTGATCAATTAATCGTTGCAAAACCGGAGGAATTTCTTCCTCGTCGTTTTCATCAAATTTTTGAAAATCCTGATTTAAGCAATAAATCAAAGGCACAGAAAAATACTCAGAAACCACATCCACATCATTCTCATTAAATACTTCCAAGCCGTCCGATTCTTCTGTTACAACAGACTCAAAAGAGAAAGAAAAAGACGACCTAGACAAGACTGTGGCATCCGGGTTATCACCCCCAGGAATACCGGACTCAGACTCAGTTGAGCTGGAACCTGATTCCGACTCACAAGACTCGATGGAATCAGATTCCGGCTCGTTACCTGACCCAGTGCTGCTTGATAAAAATCTCTCTTCATACTGCCAGACGAGAGAGGGTGCGATGGATGCATCCAAAATAGTTGATGGTAGGCTTGCAGCCGTCTCATTCCCAATCATGCATACCGAGGAGTTATCCCCCATGCACTTCTGTTCGATCGGAGGATCTGAAAGTAGACATGCCAGCGCTACCCCCATTTCATCTTTAGCGTCCTCAGACTGCGCTTCCTTACTCTGCTCAACCTCAGCTGATAGATCTGCCTGCCCTTCGGCAACGTCATTGTCAGGTAGCTGCAGGTCAAAGATAATCTCAAACCCCAGTATGCGCTTCCTCTCTGCGTTCAGCCACGGCTCTGGGAAGCCACAGAACGGAAAGTCCTCCCCCTCCCGGACGAAGCGTCCGTTTAGGGTACCCTGAATGGGCCGGTGCATTAAGTCAAAGTGCTTCCCAGTTTTCATAGCCTTGGCTTTTCCGACCATTTCCTTTCCCTTCCTTATCCAGTCCTCTTTGGTGGGTAGATAACCCAATCCAAAGACATGAGGGTTGTGTGGCACTTCGGTCGATGCCGCGACGCCTTTCCGGCCGCTCCTTCCCAATCCCATCCCGGGGATGTGTTGGAGTTTGTTCATGAGATAGACTACTTGAGCACTAACATATATCCCTTCATTAGCTGCCATGATGTTTTGTACAACCTGAGCCTCGGCTAGGGTGAAACCTGATATGAACACATCCTCCATGCCGTGCTCGATTTCTAGAACAGGCGTGGATACCTCCGGCGGCGGATGAATCGATGAATTTTCGAAGATAATGGCTACTCCCTTCCCATAGGGGTATTTCACCACTTGATGTAGGGTGGAGAAGACTGCCTTTACCTGATCACTACTACAAATATAGATAAAGATCACACTTTTTTGGTGTGATGTATGTTTTTTAATCACACCTTTTAAGTTTTATTAAAGTGTGGTCTTTAGGAGTGTGATTAAAAATGGTCATTTTTAATCACACTTTTTAAGTGTCATTAAAAAATGCTTTCATCACATCTTTTAAGTGTGATTAAATCTCAACATAAGAGTGTCTTTGGACTTAATGGGTTCATTTTGTGATCTAATTCAATGATCACTTTAATTTTACAATTCAGTAATTAGAATATTTAAAACTCTTTGAAAAATTGTAATAAAAAATACAAATCACTAAATCACATCATTCCACTAGCAAAATTTTTACCAATGAATAATGTTATCGTCGCTAAATGGTTAACTCTTTGCCCACGCCAACTTGTCGTTGCCAAAAGTATGCACACTAATAGCAACGCTCATTATGTTGCTAAAACATAAGCCTCGTAGCTAAAAGTTCTGAAATTTTGGCGCCAACCAAAAATTTTGGCGCTAAAAGAATGTTATGCTTTTTTAGCGACGATAGCAAATTGCGTTGGTAAAAGTATACTTTTACCAACGAAATTGATCACTGTGTCGCCAAAAATATACTTTTGGCGATGAAAAATTGACGTCGTCGCCAAAAGTAGTTGCCAAAAGTGCAATTTCTTGTAGTGAATAATTTAATAATAAAACAAAAAAGTGATCTAAAACTCAAGATATGCACTTGTAGAAAATGACAATATTATTTGAGAAACAAGACATTTAATAAAAGATTAGATACTAAGCACGACACAACAAAGAGAGTAGGGGTAATATGTATACATCCACTCACTTATAGATCAGTGTATTGTGCTAGTCTAAAACAATACAGTCTACACCATTCAAGTTTTTTCGGTGTCACTTATAGATCCACTCACTTCTCTCAAATTACTTCTTCTGGTTTTGGTCAGGAAGAATCAGAAGACGATGCCTTACTGATCAATTTGGAACTCCATTTTCATTTAACCTATGAATTTTTTTATGAATAAAATTGGTGTTCCATAAATAAACACAAATAGAATAATGATTAATTGCTCTACATTATACTATGAAGTACAGATACTTTGAGAAGGGAGTCGTATCCATATGATAGCGATATTGGATATAGGTACTCCTTGGATACTGGCAAATACATATCCAATATTTGATATTAATTTTCTTAAATTTTGAGAAGTAACGGATACTCTAAGTCACGTATCCAAACTATTGAAGTTAAGATTGTAGTAATTCTTGTGTAGTATTAGAGTATATTGTCATGCTCAATGTAAGAATAGTTTTTTAATACTTATCTTATTTTTAATGGAAGAAGAAAATATTGAGTTTAGACTTGTACCCTTGTGTATCCTTGGTGTGTCATACATGTGTCTCATATCTATAGCCATACTTTGTAGGAACTATGGACAAACAATATATATAATGATACTAAAATGAATTTTAACAATTAAATAAGCAAATAAACTAGCATTTCTAAATAATAGTTTCTCACCATTCGTTGAGCTTACATATAATACAATACTAACAATTATTTTTAAAAAATTCAACTTATCTTGGCTGTTTCAGTGTCCTATTTTTAAGATTTTGTCGCGTCGTTGTAGCCTTATCGTATATGGCAATAATTGCTCAATTGAACCAGATAATAAGGTGAGGCTTTCCTTAGATGTTCTTTTTTGGGAAATTCCATTTAAAGCTATTTTTTGGGGAATTGGGGCCTTTTTTTATCTAATAATTCTCCTTATCACTACTTTTTCCAGCTCTACTCATTTAAAAATTAATAAATAAAGTCCCGTTACTTATCTCGAAAATTTGACTTTTAAATTAGTTTATCGGACAATTGAAGTAGTGTTTAACTCTCAACCAAATCCGGATCTAGACTCTTTATCCTTTATGGAGTAGCCCATCATAAAATTTGATGGATTAGTCATTCCCATTAAAACCTCCAGCCTGTGGTGTAGCTGGAATTTGTTTTTTTTATACCTTTGGACGGATTTCCCGTAGCTGTTTTAGCGTTATGAGTTATCTTATGATGCGTGTATGGTTATTTTTGGCATTTCCTTGAAGCCTGGCTTTGAATTTTTAGGGTCCTTTACTTTTTTCCTGCCTCCTATTCATATATAGAGTAATAGACCGGCGTTGCTTGTTGTTCCCCGCATTTGTTGATTTTGTGTCAAGCTTAATTTTACACCTGTCAGTAAAGGGCCAACAGGTTTGCCCGTGGATATGATCTTATTACCATTTCTCCTGATCCTAAATTTTGATATAGAATTCCATGGGAATGTGTCCTTCCTTTTTCACTTGAATAAATATGAAAGGGCATGGAAATCCATCATCTAACAGTATTTTGAATTGCATTCTATATTAGTTTGTAATAGATTTCTGCTGATATTTTGACTATTTATCTAATAGGGTAAACTGGCATCTCACAATGAAGGCTCTTATTCTGGTTGGAGGTTTCGGTACTCGGTTGAGGCCATTGACACTCAGTGTCCCAAAGCCACTTGTTGATTTTGCCAACAAACCAATGATCCTGCATCAGGTATGAATCATATGATATCTTAGCAAATCTTCAATGTTTCATGTGTAATTTATTTCGATAAATTCAAGTATGTTTCTTCATTGAATTCCTTTTTTTGTACAAGTTCTTTGATATTAAATTGTTGACATGAGCAATACCAGTACACAATTCTTTTAATGATTCTTGTGTCCCTTCTAAAGTTTCTGCTGCTTACATATTTCCATGTTCGACTCCTCTAGGCGAAACAGGTTGTTTCTGTTAAATGGGAAGGTTTCAAAGCCTAAGCATGTTATTGATAATTTGATTTCTCAAATCTTACAATTCAAATTTTGAATTCTTTACCAGGGGATTTCTCTGTTTATTTAAATAATCCGAATATAGTAATCCCTATTTCATGACATTTCCTACTTTAAGTACTATCAAGTAAGTTTTGGGTAAGAAATACTCAAGTTCTTCCGGAAAAGATGAACTTCTGTCTGATTGATGAGAAAATTTCATACTACCTCATGCATATCCCCTTTTCTGTGTGTGTGTCATGTGTGCTCAACATAGATTAATGTAATTGATTTATGATTTATATCAGATTGAGGCTCTCAAGGCTATTGGAGTAAGTGAAGTTGTTCTAGCGATCAATTACCAACCAGAGGTAAAAAAAAACTAGAGCTCTTTTTACTATGATAAAGTTCAATATCATTGTCAAGAGCAAAAAACATATTGGCATGCATAATAAAATAAAATAAAATTACATATATTCATTTTCATTTGGAGTTCAGCAATTCCAAATTAGAAAAACTCTACTTCATATCATATTTGAACTTTTGCTTCATTTCAAATAACTTAACTTTTTTCATATCAAATTACAACTCACACCCTAACTTCAATTTTGCTTCACATTTCAAAACTACCACCCACCAGTAATGTGTTTTGTGATTTTTCTTATCCAAAAATATAATTTAAAATAAAAACAGAAACAACGTTTTAGAAAGTACATTCAAACAAGCACAAAGACAGAAATCAGCCACGCAAACATAATCACAATCTCAAATCAAAAAAAAAGAAAAAAAATCCATTTTCAAGTCAACAACAATACAAGATCTAAATCGAATTCAATCAGAAATAAAAAATAATAGTTGAAATTATTACCACTTTGCGCAATTTCTTGATCAAAGCCATCGGCTTCCTCTTGAGGCCTCTTTGGAACCTTTTCATTGTATAAAAACAGATCAATCAGAACCACTTCCAGAGTACAACAATACATAAAATACATATATATATATATATATATATGTACACATGTATCTATGTGCACAATCACAAACTCAAAATTCTACCTTCTGCGAGCTCGAGCGGTGAAGAGCTTGACGAGCTCATCGGTGGACATGTCAAGGAGAGCATCCAAATCGACACCCCTGAAGCTGAACTTCTTAAACGTCCTCTTCTTTGGCTGTCCTGTAGCCACCTCTGTTTCGATTTCCGCCTAACAAAGAAAGAGAAATACATATAGAAAGATGAGTGTTAACAGATGGATTAAGAGAGAGAAACTGTGTTGCAGATTGGAGGATGGATGTGAACTCACCATGGCTATAGAGAGAGAGAATCAGCAAACCCTAATCTGAAGAAGTTTGATGCGTCGTGGCTAGGGTTTTGAGAAGATGACTGTGTGTGTGTATTTATAGTGTAACGCTGAAATGGAGGAAAAAAATATATAATCACACTTATTTAAAAAGTGTGATTAAAATGTATATACACAGCAATGTATATATAATCACATTTTAATTAAAATGTGTGATTAAAAAATATATATAATCACACTTATTTAAAAAGTGTGATTAAAAAGTAGTAGTGTATATATAATCACACTTTAATTAGAATGTGTGATTAAAAAATATATATATAATCACACTTAATTGAAAAGTGACATAAAAAATAAATATTATCACACTCAATCAAATTAAGTGTGATTAAAATATTAATCTAGTTTTTTTATCACACTTCCAATAAAAGTGAGATCTTTTTTTTTTGTCAAAGTGTGATCTCTAACTCTTTTTGTAGTAGTGGATGCAGCCACGGCCGCCCCAAAAGCAGGTTGAAAGTTGCAGGAACCTCCAAGACATGGAAATCTATCTCATGCTGTCCTGGCCCAACCTTTATTTGAATCTTAACTGTTCCCATTACTTCCCGACTTGTGTTGTCATACGCCCGAATCACCTGGGCTGTTGGCGCAAAGTCTGCGATTTTCAAACCGATCGCATAGGCTGTCCTTGCCGGGCAGACGTTGATGGCGGACCCTGTGTCAACAAGGACCACCGGTATCCATTTATTCCTACACTCCACAGAGATGTAGAGTGGCTTGTTATGGTTTGCCCCCTCGGGTGGTAATTCCTTGTCGGAAAATGTTAGCATCGGGGTAGCTCCTCCTGGAAAAACCAATCCGACCAACTGCTCCGGCGTAGTCTCTATCGAGAGTTTGGCCTTGTCCATGGCTGAAAGGACGGCCTATCTATGTACTCGAGAAGCCATAAGCAGCCCCAGATGGAGATGTCTGCTTGCATCTTTTTCAATTGTCTCAATACGGCCTCATCCTCAAGTTACTTTTCTTTTTACTTCTCTGTCTCCCTATCTTTTCCAGATGCCTCTGGTTGACCTAGGTGCGGAGGCTTGAAATACCGTCCACTCCTAGTCATGTGATCGACTTCGCCGATATACCAGGTATCATCTGGTTGGATACTTCCCCAATCTTCGTCTGTGTGGGCAAGACATAGATCATCGTCTTCCCACCACATTCCATCTGCAGCCGACAGGCACCCATCCGGTTCTGGTATGACTGTCCTCATACTTGCAATACCTTCTATTCCTATGCTCGCGGCATTCTCCACTTCTGTGCTCACAGCAGTCTCAGTCCCCACATGGGCTTTTGCCTTCCTGATTCTCTCGGAATCTTCGAATCTTTCTTGTTCCGACTGTGTCAATGCAGCCGACTGTTCAATAATCCCCGTACTAGAAATGCTCCAATCCCGAGGGAAATTCTTGACACCGGCGCTCTGCGGCGATGCACTCTGTTCTTCAACCCTTCCGGCTGTCACTGACATTCTCGCCCCTGCCGGGCCTTGTTGTGGCTGAAACTCTTCTACCACATCTGGCTGATCGTCCAACCATCCCGTAGCCTCTGTTGATTCCTCATAATCGAACCAGTTGACGGCTGAGTCTCCTGGACCCTGGTTACTGTAAAACTGGAGCTTGGCAAGGTCCTCTTCCACAGCTGTTAAATCATCTGTTCCTCGCCCCAGACTGTCCCCTTGGATCACACACAGCTCTCCTCCTGCTGGAAATTCCATATCTGGCTTCTGGCCTATTGGGCAAATGTAGTCACTCAGACTATAAGCATTCCCAACACCACTCCCAAATTCCACAGACTCTGGCTCAACAACCCCTTTCTCCTTTGGAGTCTTCTCTCTCCTGCCCTTGATAGTCACCACCGCTGGCTTGGGTTGGGTTATGGAGATGTCCATCATGCACAAATCAGTGCAATCGGAAAGGAACACTTCCGGCTTAGGCAGGTAGGAAGGTGTGATATAAATACTAGGATCGTAAGGCATGACCCCAGTTTGGATGAAGTTGACTCTTTTGGGTGGTGGAGCTTGGTTATGTGTGGGGAGAGGATTTGTAGTAACATTGGGTTTCTCAGGAGGCAAAATCACCCCGTTATCAATGAGATCTTGAATCTCATGACGTAATCGGAAGAACAGATCGGTGTCATGACCGTGCTGTTGGTGAAATGCACAATATTTGGCTGGGTTGTGAGCAGCGGGGAGTCTTTCTGGTAAGGGTCGTGGCTCTAGGGGCTTCAGATGCCCTTTTCTGATTAAAACCCCCAAAGCTTTGGACAGGGGCATATAAAGCGGAGCGAAGGTTCTGGTGTTTTTGGGTGGGTATTTGGCTGTTTGTGGGTTGCTTCCGGACGCACCG